CTAGTGCTTAATAAACGTCCGTTGGAGGAGACTGAAGTCCCCTTCAGTCTGGGGGGCACCACGTCCCAGAACACTGCTCCCAAGGGGCTTGGCTCTGATCTGCAGAGCGCACGTGGGCACAGGGCGTCCCACCCACGGGGGCCTTTGCGTTCCTGGGAAGAAAGGAGCTATAGAAATGTGACGTGTTCCCGTGATTCTTGTCTTCACCACCCCCAGGCTCTCTGCCATAGTCCTCCTCTGCTCCCCGATCTTCCACCTTCCCTGAATGCCAAGATATTTGCATCCCAATAGAACAGAAGCCCTCTCCTCCGCAATCCGCAATCCGCAGTCCTCCAGGGGTTGGATTCCGGATCCTGCTCAGGGCTTGCTGCTCTGGGAGGGGCGCAGGTGCGCACACGTTGGTGCACACGTCCACATTCCCGTAGCACTCAGAGGGCATGCCTCAGCAAGCCAGGTCTGTGTCCCCTGGACGCACTCGCGGTTCTGTGCCTTGAGCGGGACCCCGTGTGGTTCTACGGCAGAGCTTTCCAAAGGCCTATCATTACGGGTTGCATGGCCTGTCGTGGTGGAAAGAACAGAAGGGAACAGCAGGAAAGGCAGACAGGTTGCATAACAGGGGATCCAACAGGCCCTATGGTGCAGCCACACCTCCTTGATGCCCTTCTCTGCCTCTGGGCTCCTTGGCCCCCTGCACAGGAGCTGGGAGACCGTGCTCAGCCAGGTCCCCAGGCAAGGATCCTGTGTGCCTCCCTGTGTGCACAGAGAACAGTCCTTCTCTGCCTCTTGACGGCCCTGGTTGGCCCCATACCTGACATTAAAATTAATTACCATGCCTTCAGAGATCCCATGAGCAGCCTTATTAACTAATTAACTTGTGACTGTTCAGCACGTCCTCATTCCACCGCCTCCTTCTTTAAGACACTTCCTGCTGAGTACAGGGCCATCAGATCCTTCCCCCGGGCAAAAACTTTCAAGGGCTCCCCATTGTCTAAGAAATTAAGTACAAAGGGGCCAGACGCTCTAGGCCCAGCTTGACGTGGGCCTCTGGGAGCGTCTTTTCAACTTTCCCAGCCACTTCCCATGTCCCAGCTTTTCTACTCCAGCTAAAAGGCTTTTGCTGCTTTGGAAGTCTATCTGGCCAGCTCCTCCAGCTTTCTTCGGGCCATCACCTCTCCCGAAGACACTCCTCTCCTCCTCTCCCTGCCTTGGTACCTTAGCCATCTCTCAAGGTCCATTTCCAAGACTTTTCCATGGAGCCACCCACAGACCATGCTTGTCCTCTCCATTGAACTGTCTGTGCCCTTTGTGATTCTTTTTTTTTTTTTAATTTAAGTTTTTATGTATTTAAGTCATTTCTACACCCAATGTGGGGCTTGAACTCATTGACCCCAAAATCGAGTCGCTAGGCTCTTCCAACTAAGCCAGCCAGGCGTCTCCGTTTGTGACTCTCTTATGTCTCAGGTCACATTCTGGCTGTATTGTAATTACTTGCGCCTTTAGTCTAGTCTCTTTCTGAAGTATGAAGTCCGTGGGGAGAGAGGGAGATGTTCTCCTCCTATCTGCATCCTGTCACTCCTGGCCCTCCACAGAGACTCTGTACATATTTGTTGAAATGAACTGACATGTGGAGGCACATTTTTAAAAGGCTGATGATTCTTCTAGAAAGACAAAGCCTAGGTCTCCAGGAGCCCCTGGTCCCCTTCTTAGGAAGGCTCCCCAGTTCTGCTGGGCTACGTGAGAGGCATCAGCTGCCTATCTGGGCACTTGGACTCTCCTACATCCCTTTGGCATGTGTCCTTTGTTTTGTAGCGTAGGACGCAGTGGCCTGTCTTTGGGGCTGCACTTCCATGGCCAGGGCCTGGGCAGAAATGAAAGGGGCTCCCCTGTCCTGGCCTGGCCCACACCTGTCTCAGCCCAGAGGTCTGCAGCAGCTGGCAGGAGGCAGGGGTGTGAGAGAGGAGGCTGGTCCAGGCTCCTACGGCTGAAGGAAGCTGATTACTAAAGTTCCAGGGTTTTTCCAAGCTGCTGCTAAACAAGCCGGTATTAAAAATTAAATTATAGGGGCACCTGGGTGGCTCAGTGGGTTAAGCCTCTGCCTTCGGCTTGGGTCATGGTCTCGGGGTTCTGGGATCAAGCCCCGCATCAGGCTCTCTGCTCAGCAGGTAGCCTGCTTCCTCCTCTCTCTCTCTGCCTGATTCTCTGCCTACTTGTGATCTCTGTCTGTCAAATAAATAAATAAATAAATCTTAAAAAAATTAAATTATAAAAAAGTTATGTATATGAAGTCACAATTAAAGAAATTATATTGAAAACAAAGGTAATAAACACTCGAAACTGATCACTACCTAATGATGTCACTGTTTTGCCGCCGTCCGTGTTCTGGAGCTTAGTCGTGCCTCCTGTGTGTGTAGGGTGGATTTATCGGGTGTGTGAGCTGCTCTGCGTCTCTCCCCAGCTCTGCACCCGGACACCGTGATGATAGCCTGAAATCAGCCGTGGTGGGAGTGTTTATGCTACAGAGAGGGGATGAACGCTACGGATCAAGGCTTTTTCCCTCCAGAGAGCTGGTTGTCTAGGGATTCCGGGCAAGGGGACACAGACACCTTTGTGCAACTACCGTCCTGAGAATGTCCTCTTGAAAGTGGAATACATTGACTTTAGGGTTTTGCAACCCCTAAGGCTCAGGCCCAGCTCAGTGGCAGAGTGAGACCAAACGGCCCCTCCAGGAAGACAGAGGGAAGGGAGGGAGGGAACTGAAGTCCCCTGCCCTTGCTCCTGGTGAGAGCCCTTGGGCAGAGCTGGGGGGTGTCAGGGGCAGCAGTAGTCCAGCCAGGAATGAAGGCGCAGTGGCGGGTCAAGGGTTTGGACGAAGAGCCTGGTGAGGCATGGCGGGAGGCTGAGAGCAAGGGGCTGGGTACCACTTAGATCTGATGTGCAAGCAGGAGGCACAAAGCCCTACTGAGGTCAGTATCATCCCTTGAGAAGCCTTACAGTCCCGGGACTCGGACCCAAGAATTCCCTGCTACTGCAGGGAGGGCGGGCTGTGCTGCCCAGAGCAGCAAGGGACCAGGTGAAGCTCCCTGGCAACGAGCCTGAAGCCCAGCAGCATCCTGCCTCCCTCGGTACCCAGAATCAGGCCTTGAGCACGGCAGGGATCTAACTAATAGTAACAGATAACAACTGGAGGGATTGAGGAGAGCCTGGGTGCTGAAGTCACATGGACAAGGCAGGGTAACTTGACCCTAGATAAGCGGTTCGTCTCTCATCTGGGTTGCGGCAAAGGTTTTTTTAGAGAAAGTTTTTAAGGAGCCCCGCACAGTGCCTGGCACATAGTAGGTGCTCGTGCCTGGGGGCTCACAATGCCGGCTCTTCAGTCACCAGCTTGCAACTCAGGCAAGTCCCCTTGCTCTCCCTGGCAGACCTCAGTGACCACATCTGGAGCAGCACAGGGCTGGGCTACATGATCTCCAAGGTCGTTACCCCTATGAATATTCTCTGCCGCTAAGAATAAAACTGGTAAGGGGGCTGATTTGAGTGTCAGAAGAGATGCTGTGCTTACAATCCTGTGATTAATATTTGAAAAGACACACAAAAATAATAATTATCCAAGTGTGGTGGGGGAAACTTGGATTCTTTCATTAAGTTAACAAAATGAGGGAGCAGTTAGAAACAAAAACCAACTTCATTCATTCCTCACTGATGAGGATCTGAGGAACAGCATATTCCTCCCAGAAAGATCCGTGGCAAAAGCCTCAGGTACAGACTGAGCTAGCCTTCTTTATGATTCACCCGTTATCACAGTTTCTAGATCATTAACAGAACAGGGTGCTCGAGGGAACCGCAGACCAGTGGCATGGACCAACCCAGAATCGCTTCTGAAATATGCAGCCTCCCCTGGCCTCCGACAGAGTGGGGGACACTTGGGGAGGGTTAGATCCCACTTGGGGACGGCAGGGAGCTGAAGGAAAAAAAATATGTTAATGTATAGAATGAAATCCTATGGTAAACACCAAGAATGTGGTATTTACTTCACTATCAAGGGCTGTCAAGATGGCTTTGAACTAAGCCTTATGAGATTACACTATAATGGGACCCATCGAGGGCAGCCCCCTGCTTGTCTGTCTTACCACAACACCTGGGACAGCCCAAGTGCTTGGCAGGTCTTTGCCCAAAGAATGCCTAAATGAAGGAAAAGATCGTAGGAAAATCATAAGCCACCTTTTCTAACACCCCTGGTTTGACATCGGGAGGGTCTCGTCCCTGCCCTCCATGCCCCAGGGCAACTGGTGGGAGAGAGAAGACACTCTTACACTCTGGGAGAAAAGGTTGGGAGTGGAAATCTCAGACACCCGTGGGACACGGGGCCACAGAATGGAAGAGACCGTCAGACTTGCATCTTAGATGTTTGGAGCTTGATGGCAGCCAGAGAAAAGAAAGGTAGGTTTGACCCTGCATCTGAAAATGCTAAGGGCAAGGCCGATCTGGGGACTGGGAAGTCCTGGGAAGATTAAGTGAGATCAGTGGGAGAACCGACCACAAAGTCGGAGGCCAGTGCACATCCCTCAGGGACAACTAGCACGGCCCAACTGGCCGTGCCATATTCTCTGAAACCCACCCAGGCGCCCACCCGGTCTGCCGCAGTCCTTCATCTGACAAATCCGGCTCTTGCGCAAATCCTGGTGCACCACCGCGGGCTGGGGCCTGCTCCCTTCTTGGGCTCCCCACGCTCTTGCTCCCCCCAGGTGTCTCCAAACACCAACCTCACGCCCTCACGCTCCTCCCCCTTCCCCGGGCCACTCGATGGGGACCCACTTTCTACAAAGGGGGACACGGAAAGCCACCCTGAGCGCACCAGCCCCGGGGTAGGCCACCCAGCATGTGAACGACTGGCGCTCTCTGTTCCTTCAAACCCCAGAGCCAGAGGAGGGTTGGGGTGGGGGGAAGACGCGGACTCCGACCCCCGGAGTTCAGGCGGGGGCCTGGGTGCACGGCGGCCTTACCCGGGCATGAGGCCGGGGGGTACGTAGGCGGCATTGAACTCGGTCAGGAGCGTGCCCGCGCTGCGGGAAGCCATGGTGGGTGCGGCGAGCGCGCTGTGAGCCCGGCGCCCCAGGGCTCCCCGCCCGACGGTAAACAACCCGGGGTCACCTGGCAACGCGCGCCTGGCAACGACGGGACTGGGGACTGGGGCCGAGGGGAAGCGGAGTTCCGGGGGGGCTCCCAGACCTCCCCCCCAGACCTCCCCAAGCGTGCTCTCCCGGGGACCCCGCCAATTGCCCCTCCCCCCAAGCGGGGCTCCCGCGCCCAGGAATGAGCTCATCTCTCTGCTTCCCCGCATGCCCGCGTGTGGGATGCGGGATGAAGGTGGAAACTCGCAGGAGAGGCCCGGCGGGGGATGCGCCCCGAGTGCCCTTCTGTCCCCTGCAGGACTCGGGACATGGCCCAGCGCCCTCGCTGCGGAGGCCGAGCCGAAAGCGACAGCCCCATCGCGGCTCTGCCTGAGCACCCCAGCTCCTCGAAGGGAATTGTCTTCCTACTCTATCGTCTCTCCCTGGGAACTTCCTTCTTGCCTCATCTTGCCTGTCATACTACTCCACGAGAGTGGCTTATCAGTAAGGGGCAAAAGGCAAATCTTGGGAAGATCTGGATGTGTGATGTACTCCGGCCCTCATTTGCGAAGTGCAGCCCACAGGGTTGGCTTGTTTGCACCAGAAAGCAAACTTACCCAAGTCCCCGGTGAGGGTTCCTTATAATAATGGCTCCCTCCTGCAACCGGTGCCCTCGCACCCCGTTTCTCCAGCGACCCTCATCCCAGCCCTGGTCTTTAACTGCGGCGTGGAAGAGCCGTGACAGCCTCCAAGGCAACATGCTCTTTGGGGCTTGGAGCCAAACCTGTCTCCCTCCCAGCTCCCTTGGAGCAGTCCTGGTATCAGCAAGAGTGCTCTGCCGTTTACCCTTGGCCTTCTCGGTTTCATTCAGTCTTGTCCAAGAAGTGTCATCTTCACAGTTTGAATCTGTAAATGGCAGCTAATGAAGACCACAGACACTAATGAACTTGCAGGACGCTTTTGCAACCAGAATTGTCAAAAGGCTTTCGCTGAGAGATAACATTGGGATTGGGGGGAGCCATGGGCTTCCAAAGAGTGCAAGAAGCAGGGGAACTGAGGTCTGGGGAGGAAAAGAAACTGTCCCGGAATGAGGGGCTGCAGACCAGGCAGAAAGACTTTCCACCAGTCCTTCAAACTGCAGTCAGATCTGTGTATTTCTAAATTCCCCATGCAGAATAGGAGCAATAATAAGAAAAACATTTGTAAAAGTTGTAAAAGAACAGCTCTCAGTTCAGGTGTGCTGTACTCCAGGAAGGTGCCCCCCACTGCCAAGGTCAAGTGCCCACTCCCTCCCCCATCATGACTTCCCAGCTGGTGGTGCCCGGAACCGAGGACCTTTCCAGCGAATCTTCTGCCTGGGGTCCAATACTGTATCACCTTCACCCCTGAATCCTCAGTACCTGGTACTAGGAGGAGCTAGTATATGTTGAATAAATTTTACAGTAAGAGTTACAGAAATCTGTAATAGTAGGTAGAGTGGAAATTAAAAGGTGAGGTCTGGCTTAGGTTTCAGAGGGTCAGTTAGCTTGGCTAAGGGGTGCTGTGTGTTGACGGGGTGGAATTACTACCACTTATCAATATAGAAACTGAGGTTCAGCCAAGCTCAATGCTTTGCTTAGGACAAGTTCATGGGCTTTTTCCTAAAGAGGCACAGGCCTCTTGAAACTCACTCACCCCCTACAGGAGAGAACCACCGGAGGGCCTGGGGAGGAGATGGATCTCTTTTTCCTATCAAGTCTTACAAATAAAGCTAGTTTTTTTTTTTTTTTTTTTGAAGAGACATTAAACTTACCTGGTTTTTAAAATTTGGTGGATATTCTTTTGTATTCAATAAATACAATAGACTGAAATACTCTTTGCTTCATTGTGGCTAGATAAAAGTGAGAAAGGAGAGCAGGAACTGAGGAAGGAAAGGGAGAGAAGGAAATAGAACATAAACAGAAAAAGAAAAAGAAGGCAATGTAACAAGGAATCATCTAGAAGGACGCTCCTGTGACATCCTGCAGGTCACTGGACTGTAGAATTCAAAGGGAGTAACCTCTTGTTAGCGTGCCGTGAAAATCTGATGCTTCCCTTTTTGAACTTTTAGGCTCTGTTCCCCCTTATCCTGTCAACCTTCTATGGGTATCCTGTTATACCCAGGATTCCATACCAGGATTCCATGGGACTGCAAAGATGCAGGGCACCAGGGTCTCCCCGTGGTGAGAATGAAGCAGTGAGATGAGAGGGGTGGGGCGGCACAGATGAGGACCCCAACCCGGTCTGAGCGAAGGTGTGGGTGCAGGGGCACTTTCAGGATTGGGCACCAGTTGGGCTGAGGCCGGGCCAGAAGGCAGTATGGAGTGAGAGCACTCCCTGCAGAGCAAACGGCCAGAGGAAGGGGTAGATGGCCTTGCAGAGGTTCTGGGTTCCGGAATCCTGGTCCCCAGGCTCCCTTTCATTATAAGCCTCTCCCGGGGTATGTTGCTGGAAGAGACGGCCGTTCTTTTCCAGTCCTTGGAAATTTTGCCAGATATCCCTTCCCTGCGCCCCCCAAACCCAGCAGCTAATTGGACACAAATCTTGACAGTTCTGCTCCAGTGAGGCTCACCGGCCCAGCCTTCTCCATCCCCGTGCCCAGGATGGGGTGAGGCTAGTGCCTTAAGCATAGCCCTTAGTAGAACATAGGCCTCTGACACCTTCACATTGGGGCAGTTCTCAGATCCAGGGATCCCAAACCAGGAGGTCAGGACCCCACCTCCTGGGGGTACAAGGTCCCCAAGAGCAGGTGGGGGAAGTAACATCTCCTTTTTCTCAGGGCTCCCTTTCTGACAGCAGCCACCCGACACAGCCTTAATGGTGTCTGGTAGATGCTGATTTTCCAGGGGACACTGGGGGTGGGGGGCTGGGGTTGGGATTTCTACATGACACAGTGGGACGCAGCCAGGACTGACCCATCCAGGTTCCCTGAGCCTCACGGACACCGGCAGCCCCGGTGGCCAGCTTGGCTGGGGCCATGAATCCCCTCGAAACACCAGTGTAACAGGCCAGCCTCCTGTGCACACAGATGGTAGAGCTCCTTGCACTCACACTTCACACTCGTGTGCGAGCCCCTCTGCACTCTCCTGGCAGCTGCACTGGCCTAGCAGGGCACAGCAGAGCGGGGAGGAGAGGTAGGCAGGAGCGTCAGCCCCAGGGGCCAGGAGAGGCTAGGCAGGGTTTTATCTAGGAGCTGGAGGCTGCTGAATAATGAATTCCCACTCCGACTCTGAGCCTGCATTCCCAGGGCTGCACGCAAGGCACACCACACACACGCACACACACACACCAATACGCACTGGGCTGACAACTTGGAGGGGCGGGCACTGGCAGGGCTGTGAGGCTCTGTGAACCGCTGGAGGGAGCAGCTCTCTGGCTGGTTTGCTTGGGTCTCTGTGGGCAGCATCCGAGGGGGCGCAGGAGGCGAGAGCAGCCGAGCAGAGAGGGAGAGGAGGGAGGTGTGTGCGTGTGAGTCGAGCTCCGCCAGACTCACTACTTCCCCAGCCGCTCCTGCCCGCCGGCGTTGTCCAGGCTCTACACGTCAGCATGGCTCTGTTTGTCCACCTCAAGACGGTCTCGGAGCTGCGGGGCAGGGGCGACAGGATCGCCAAAGTGACTTTCCGAGGTAGGGGACCCCCTGTCTTAGAGGGACCCTAGGTCTGGGCTGATGGGGATAAGGCAGGGCGGGAGGATGGATGGGAAAAGTTCTAGCAGGGTTGGGGTGATGAGGCTTTTCGTGGGCAGCCCTCTGCCCCTGGCCTGACTGGCCACTGTGATTTCCTGACAGTCAAGGTACCCCGTGTTGTCCTGTCTGCATCTGTGTCTGTCCCTCCCTGTGCTTGCCAACGTGCAGTGTGCCTGGTAGGGTGCAGAGTTCTCTGCTGCAGGAGGTCCTGGGGAAGTAGAGGTAAAGACTGCCTCTCCGAGCTCAGGGGGACCCACAGCGAAGAGGCCCAGCCCCGTAGAGCCTCCGTGGGCCCATTCCTCCTCTCCCTCTCCCTCCAGAAGATCTCCTTGGGCTCAGGGTGGTGGTGGCCTCTGCAGACTGAAAGCCGTAGCATGGGTCCCCAGAAACCAGGCAGCCAGGGGCTCTCTGGTTGAGGATACTATTGGCTTCTTGTGGATCTATTGGTGGGCAGGGATCCTGTGCACCCCACTGGCCTCCCCTCTATCAATTCTCTTCCTATCCTCCTCCCTTCCCATGCATCCGGCAGCCATTTACGATGGTCTATGTGCCAAGCCTGGGGCCTGAGAGTGACCCAGGCTCTGTCCTTGAGGAGCCCACCTCCAGTGGGACAGAAGGACCAGTTGGCAGACAAGTAGGACAGGTGTTTGATATGATGAGGACGGGGACAAGGGCAGCACGCAAGCCACAGAAGCGGCACTCGACTTGGGCTGGGGCAGAGTGGTCAAGGAAGGCTTCCTGGAGGAGGTAGCCCCTCAGCTGAAACCCAGGGGACTAGCAGGAAGGAGCAAGGTAAGGAGGTGAGGGCAGAGCTGGTGCCGGGGACGGGAGGCTGAAGGCTGGGAGAGGAGCTGGAACGTGGAATGGAGTAGATAGAGGATCCATGAAGCTGGAGCCCAGAGTAAGCACAGAAGCTGAGGCAGGAGAGAGGCGGAACCAAGGACGCAAGGCTGCCTTTACCCTAAAGACAGAGGGCAACCCCCAAGGCTTTTAAGTAGAAGTAAATAAGGCCGGGTTTTCCTGTGCTTACCACCCACCCGCCTTGGCTTCTGACTGGCCACAGCCCAGCCCTCTGGGCCGGGGCATCTCTGATAGCCTTTCACCAAAGACCAGGGCACTCCTCACTAGACATGGCCATTTTTCCTGAGAGGGGATGCGGATAGAGGCTGGGGGAAGAGCTGAGAGAAGCCCAGCAGACCAGAGAGCAAAGTGAGCCTCGGGCCCAGGCTGGGGGCACGTCCACACCCAGGTTACAAGGGAGAGGTGAGACCAGGGGCCATAGCCCCCGTGCCTAC